AAACTAGGCAAATGTTATTTGTAAATTTGATGTAAATAAGGTTATAGACTAGAATGTTATAAACTGGGGTTTATATCTGGGGTTATGACCACTAGGCCAGTTGGCCTTGTCTTGACCACTTTCAAACTGTATGTGGGAATTTGCCTTTGAATTTCCTATCTTAATCTGAGGCAATGCCTCTTCAAAATTGTAATTACATCTTCTTGTACGACTGTGAAATGAAGTTGCTTGTGTGTTATGTATGCAGCTATTGCTAGAGGACCCAGCTGTACTTAGGCCCATATCTTTACACACTGAGCTTCCTGTTTCTTTACTTGAGAGCAGGTCAGAATTGCCCATGTTACCAGCCACATTTGACGACTGGCAAATGGCATGATTCATTATTTTGGTAAGTAATGCCCAAGAAGTTTCAGGACAGACGTATCTATCATGAACATAACTGTCCTCATAAGCAGGTACTTCAGATGAACAAGTAAAGGAAGCTTATAATCCACCAATTAGCATGGGGCAAAATGAATGGTACACTTGCTGGAAAGTTCAAACTGCCACAAAGCTTAAATTAAAAAGCAAACTGTTCAAAAGGCCCAGTAGTGCAAGGAGATTTATGCTGATTAGTGAATGACTTGAATATTATTTTGTTTTGTTTCTCCTTATAATGCGATTATCCAGTTGCTTCTGCATGATTGGCTGAAGATATAGGTCACACGGCTGCGTATGTCAGACGTCATTTACGGCAGGAAGCAGACAGCGCTGCGTGTTGCCTACACAGTATAACTCCGTTTGTGGAAAAACCAGAGACTGTGCGGTAGTGATAACATGTAAGTCATATATGTTCATTTCATATTGGTATTTAGGGATTAAAGGGAAATCTTAGTTTATACTTACAGTTGTTACTGTTTTTAACGAGTAGACACGTTACTCTCTGTGTTTTTTTTTTTGCGTGCAAGTTTAGTTTCACTTTCATCTGCTAGCATTTAGCACAATCCTCTCCTGTTTATACTGTGTTTCATGTCAGTCAGGAGATATACTTATTTTGTGTATTCAGTTTTGAGTTTGCATATATTCTGAACATGTTTGGTGAGTTAAATTAGTAGTTTACACGATGTTAGTCGTGGTCAGAGCATTTCTTTGTTGATAAGGTCCAGCCAGAGTCAGTTCCAGAGATTGCCACTAGATGGCGCCTAAGCACTAGTATATTGGTCTTACTATTGCATAGACATTGTAGTTGATAATACGTGAGACTTGTCTGTTTATTGTGCATGCTCTCATCCACGAACAACATTGATATTTAAAGTCATATTTGTATTTGTGTTTAAGACCACAGATTGGTGACACAGACCTGATCTCACAGCTCTTTAATCTTGAGTCTGCTCTCTCTTCCACAACTATGTAACATCAACTTCCATGCCTGCTATTAAACCTTTGAACTCACTGAGGCCTCAAGTGGTGTTCTGGCCGACACACCAGATTGAACAAAGTTAAAACCCAACCAGTGCCAGTCTTCCTTGTTATTTTTTTTACACAAAAGCTAGCTGCCCCATACGTCACAATGCAAATGCTCCAAAATTACACTGAATAAGGTCTCATACAATAACTTACACTGAAATTTGAGAATTTAAAAAAATTTCTCCTGTAAACTTACCAATTTGAAGATTTTGTTCAAATATTGAGGAAAAATGGTATAAACAGTTTAATTAAAAAAAAAACATCAAAATAATTGAATTAAATCAAATGATGATGAAATTTAACATTTCATGCAGCATAACTACATGACTGCATTGTTTTCTAAAGAATTGTTGTAAGTTCAGAGATGCATACTCCTGATTGACTGATCAGTTAAACTGAAAGTTGAACAATTAAACCTAGGGACGCATCACACTGATACTGGTATTGGGTACTGATTCCCACTGTGTAAGCCAAGTGCAGCTGTCGCACTAATGAGCAAACACAGTGAACGAGGCTCTGTTTACACAGAGAAATGTTACTGACTTCATGAAAGTCTGACACAAAGCCGTCAACCATTTTAAATATTCCGCCATGGCAGATTCTCGCCAGGAATGCACTGTGTGATTTTAGCCCGTTCTAAACACAAATACAAACAAAATCACATCCGCTTCTGTGGAGACACACAGGTCAACTAAACCAAGGAGAAAAAAGTCGACAATTGCTATCAAAGCACCTCTATGCTGACTTTGTTTGACTGAATATAATAACGAGGTATAAATGTTAATACAGTGATTTTCTTTTGTAAAATAGGCTGTAGAAAGCCAGTAGGAAGGCTGTATTGTCCTTCTGTGTACATCACCGCCTGCTTTTAACTATAGTTCACAGTGTTAGGCGAGCTGCTCAGTTTCTCTAAGCTCAGTACTCAGTCGGCAGCATGTTGTTTTGAATGAAACAGCTTTATTTTAAACTGTTTGTAGACAGAGCTGTCTGTAAAGGCTGCGTTTCACATACAAATCTTAGGCTTGGTCTGTACGTGATGGTCTGTTCAAATGTACAGTTTAAGTCACCGAAGAACAAGATTTCTAAAATCGTGTGTATCTGACCTTAGAGGACATTCAGCTACAGCTTAACCAGCCAAACAAAATACTCCGAACAAGACGTAAAACCCGCAACACAAATTCATCGGATGCTTTAGCCTCGGATGTGATTCCTGCTGTCACTGTGCTACAGAGACTGTTGTTGAAAGAGAGAGGCAAGGAGCAAAACTATGACTTGTACCTACAGCTGTACAGAAGCGCTTTTTTGCCCACTCTTCTCCACTGCAGCATTACTCGATCCCAGGCAGGACTAATGCAGCATAGCTAGCAAATGCACTTCATTTAAAATCAGCTATATTTTAATGATTTAATTAACATTATTTTATATATTTAATTTACACTAACAACTACTTAATTCTAAGTAGGTTACTCAGTATGGTATCGGGCTTGACATTGGTGAGTAATAAAATATGTAGCCTACTCGTGTTTGTACGGTCTGAAAAAAATGGTATCAATGCATCCCTAATGAAAACAGTATGGACTTTTATACAGTGGCATTCAATGAAAGCTTAGGCTTCTGTTTGGCTCAGGTTGTATTTCTGCAATACAAATAGCCAGTACACATGGCAAACATTTGGAGAAGTGGGAGGGCACAATGTAATGCTCCTTTAAGTTTTCTTTTTTTCTTGTGATAAAAGTTACAGATAAAGTAATGAAGTATTAGAACAGTTGGATGAGACTGAGACATAAAGAAGAATTCCCCTTTCTGCTGAACAAAATATCAGTGTTTGCAAATAAAAAATCATACAGTGTATACCATATACCATGTCTGAAAATGATTTTTTCACATATTGTAGCTGAAATTATTATTAAATACTAAATTTGCTCTCAAACATTGATATTGGTCAAAAATCATCTTAGATTTGGTCAATATATCAAATACATTCTCATTTTAAGATTTGTATATCTTCAGATTATCACACTTATTTCGAGATGCCTAATTCTAGATTTATGTCTTTTCATCTGGTGAAATTGTTGTATTCCATTGGCAGAGAACTTTGGTTATTTAAAACATTTTTTGAAATAAGAAAATGTGGCAGTAAAATAATTGACTAGATAGACTTAAAACAAGTAAACAAGTCTAGAAATAAGCTAAAGCTCATAACATTCTTATAGCAATCTTAAAAAAAAACAAAATATGAAATATTTTGACTATATGTAAGATAATTTGCCAGAATAAAATTGTTTTTGCTTTAAAGTCCAAAATCCAGGTTACTATGTTTCTGTGAAAGAACTCCTTTGCAAAGAAATCTCTAGTAAAAATCTGTCTCCTCACCCCAGTTTTGTCTGTTACAGCACGCCCAGTCAAACCTGTTGAACAAGTGAGTGCTGGAATTTCTTTACCTTAGCCTCTTTGTATGTAAATGAAAAATGAAAGTTGCAGAAAAATGTTGCATCGTGTGTGAGAGAAATGAAAGGCCGAAGCCTGCAGCACAAGCATTTTCTCATGTGCCCCTAACTAACCTGTTTCAACCCCGCCTTTAAATAAGGTCAGCATACTGTGTGAAAGGTAAAGGTGATGAAACGGTACCTGGATCAGTGTCTTGGCCCTGTAACTGAGAGTGTGCATTGATATACTAAAGCTTGGAATCATATTTCACCAAAATAATTATTCAGTTTTTAGTTTGGGAAGAAAAGGATGTAAATTCTATTTATGTCAGAAAAATAAAGTTAATATATATGAAAAAATACTTTGGTCTGAAGTGATGCAATTTTGTAGTTACGCTGTATATTTATTTTCATCATTTATTCACTGTTTTTTAGTTAGATTTTTTGGTTTTCTATTGTTTTGTTAAGACTATTCCCATGCCATCAAAAAGAATTTAATTTATCCCTTTTTTAGCCATATGTCGTGTTTGATTTGAAGAATTTCTTCAGATTTGTGCATAGGAAAGACAGAATGGAGCAAAAGAAATGCTAAATTATAGTTTCAGATATGAATAAGGTAAGTGATTACTGATACACCATAATTTTCTAATTATAGGATTATTTCCTAATTTGGTATTATAACACAATATATAGGTTATTTTCTATAAGTTAAGGTCCAGGCCTTTTTTTTTGACCAAGTATGCCGAAAATCTCTTTTTCTACCTTCAGGCTTGAGCACTAAATGTACTGTGCCCGAACATCCAGTTAATAGTGGCTGTCTTGTAATGTATGCATCAAGTGTGTTTGGTTGCTTCTGACTGGTGTAACTCATCTACAGGCAGTTCACCAGCTCTATGTTGTAAGCTACAATTCGTAATGTACCTACCTCGTAATGTATGGTTTTATGTTACTAAACAGTGATTCCAAACCTTTGTAAAGTGGTTTAATGTGTAAAATATAATATCTACACTTGATGAGCACATACAGCAGTTGTAGCTGCACAGACTAAAACGAACACTATGTGTGTGGTGTGTGTTTGAGTGTGTTAGGAGTGTGTGTCTGTGTTTCTGTCTCAGTGACTGGCTAAACCTAGTTTCCTTTCTTGGGTCTGAAGTAAAGTTTCTTGGTCAGCATGGAGGCAAAGCAGGGCACCTGTTTCTTGCCAATGGCAGAGCGGTCACTGCAGTTTCCCACACTGCGTTGGGACACTTTGCGACTGACGAGCGTCAGAAGCTCAGTGAACTCCAGTGCAGAGCCGTACTGATGCAAAATCAAACACAGATCCTGGATACACAGAGGAACATTACATTTGCTACAAATTACCAGCAAACATTTCTTATGAAACACATACATTACTGTTCAAAAGATTGGAATCCATGTTTTCAAAAACAGAAAACAAATTTGGCTGCTGATAAATGTATAAAAGGATGGGACTGGAATGATGAGCAATTATTGTGATTATTCTTAATGAAAAATTACATTATTTATTTACTTTTTTATTTATTATTTATTTTTTTTTGTTTGTTTGTTTTATTCAAGGTTGTGTGTTACAGTGATTTTACCATGATTTAGGGAGTTTCATAATTTGTTGGGCCCAACAACACCCCTCACGGAAATGCTACAAAGCACAGCCTACAGTGGAATATTACTTTAATTTAATGCCACTTCAGTTCCTTGCTTTCATAACTATAGAACTATAGAGCATTTGTTTCATAGTAATTACTTGATTAAACTAGACTAGCACAATGAGTCCAATTTTTCATTCAGATGAAACTAAACTAAAGTTTGTTTTATATTATTAAAAATATTGATTCCAAACTTTTGAACATTGATTCCACCTGTTTTAACAGCACACTCATAACAATAAACGGTTGTAAATGATTTTAGGCTTGGACACACAGGTCTAGGCAAAAGCATTAGCTGGTATAAAATCTTTATTATGAGGAGCTGTTTAAACTTTTGTCACAATCACACATCTCATTTACAAATAGGGTTCTATAACCCCTTAAAATCTGAGAGTCTGTATGTGGGTCCACACTTCCTCCAATTCCTCAATCAACAGACTATATAACTATAGAACGTGCACACACATCCTGTCTACAAATTACAAGTAGAGTAAGGGCCCATAACCTGTATTTTTCTTGTATTTTGCTTTCTCACTTATCACTTAGGAAATGTATGTAGTTTTATGTCATAATTTTAAAAAACAGTCATAATTAATCTTTTCATATAACTATTTTCCAACCTCTTTGAAAATGAAACAGCTCCAGTTTTGTTACGGTGCCTGATTTATGACTGCTTCATGTAAACGGCTTCTGAACTGATTCACTCATTCCAAAAACAGTCCAGATTACACATTCCATATCATTTCAACTTGAATAGGTAAAGCTGAACTGCTGTAGGCTGAATAGGTGGATATACACAAATGTGTTTTTGCAACATCATAAAAACAGTGAATTCAAAATAGGCTGCTGAGTTTGTATATATGGACTGGGGTATGAACGGCACATGCTACATCAAACTATTATTTTAAGAAAGCAAGTAAAATTTTGTTTTCCCCTTTAAGAGTTTACAAAAGCACAAGTTAAAGCTAGGGGTTGGTTTTTTGTTTTATTAAGGGATTACTTAAGATGTTTTACGGACCCCAGCACTGATGCGTCAGTGCATTAAATTGTGCATTGCTTTGTCTCCAGCATTGGAGCAGGACCTTCATGATGTTGGGTGTGAACCTGATGTAGTGAGTAATAAACTGAATTGGGTTTTCTACTCACCCTCAGCTACAGAATAGCACATGATGAAGTCAGCACCCACAGGCAGTGTGTACACTACCCCAGCATCCACAACAACCTTATTGATCTTATTATTATCCACCACATCCATTGGAGTGACCGGGTCATCGTGTTTGTCCCCATGACACGCCTGCCATTTACAAATTTCAATTTATATACACTTCAAAATTATATGCAGTACTGTGCAAAAGTCATCTGAGAAAATGCATGTAATGCTATTTATCTGAATAGTATTTATTTGTTCATAAAACAGCCTTCCGCCCAATGACAGCTGGGATAGGCTCCAGCACCCCACCGTGACCCAGAAGGATAAGCGGTTTAGATGATGGATGGATGGATGGATGTTCATAAAACACTAACATTATAATAAACAGCCCAAATAAACAATACATTTTGATTTGATGTGTTTGAGTGTGCTATCTTAACCATTTCTAAATCTCTCCTCCAGGAAATCCAACATTTACAGTTACCACCCAGTACCCAGTTTATCTAATCAATTCTTCATTAAATGAAATCAGGTGCTGCTGATGAAATTGAACAAATCCATGCAATGACTGAAGTGCACAGAGAAGACAAGATCAAAACCTGTGGTTTTCTAACTGTATTCTTCTAATCAACGTCTTAATGGCTTTTTAAAAAACAAAAACAATCTTATGTTTATTAGGTTAAACAAGTCAGTATGCATTCTTCTGCATACACGATTTATTAATTTGTGATCACGATTTTCTAATTAGTTCTCTCATTTTCTTTTAATCATGGTCATGTTTTATTTTTAACTGAAGGCATGTTGTTTATTTTTTTGATTTGTGTGCAAACAAAATCAATGTAGTAGATACAGGTCGTGTTAGTTTTCCTGTGCAGAAGTAACTAACAGCTCCCTGAGACTGAAGGGTTTTGATGTGTTAGATTGACAAGATAATGGACAGAGATGCTCATCAGGTTTTATTTTAATTTGGAGGGGTTATGAGGACCCTATTGATCCTCTTCACAGCAAACGGCCCACAGATTCATCAGTGCAGCTGCAGTTTGGTGGAGAAATGAAGGAAGACAATAAACTAAACTGCACTTTCTAATGATTATATTAAACAGCTTAGTTTCTGGTCCTGTGTCAAGCTGTGGTGTTAGAGACCATCATGCAATTACAGGAAGAAATTATCAGCGTCAATTTGTTGCAACAAACTCAAACACACACAGAAACATTAATGTGGAATGAGGTCAAATAGCAAGACAGTTTAATAGATCTATGCTTTATATGTAGATATATTAATGTGAGGATGTTGAAACGCTGATCATTTCTTTGTGTAATTGTGTGATGGTCTCTAACACTGCAGGTTGAAGCGGGAGCAGAAACAGAGCTAAGCAGCCGCACTGCGTCTATATCTCTGTTAAATATAATCATTAGAAAGTGCAGTTTAGTGAAGATTGTGATTGTAGTTTATTGTCTTCCTTCATTTCTTCACCAAACTGCAGCTGCACTGATGAATCTGTGGGCCGTTTGCTGTGAAGAGGTGCAAAACAAAACAAAATCAAACCTAATGAGCATCTCTGTTCATTATCTCATCAATCTAACACATCAAACCCGTCAGACAGTCTCAGGGAGCTGTTAGCAGCCTGTATCTACTAAATTTATTTTGTTTGTGCATGAATCAAAAAAGGAAACAACGTGCGCTCAGTTAAAAATAAAACATGACCATGATTAAAAGAAATTTTAATTAGAAAATTGTTATCACAAATAAAAAACGTACCCATGAAGTAGAGAAAACATGCGCACAATTAAAAGAAAATGAGGGAACTAATTAAGAAATTGTGACCACGAATAAAAGAAAACGTGCATACGAACTGCAAAACGTTCAGTTAATTATTGAATTAATTATTTTTTTTACCTTCATCCCCTCTGGGGCTCCATAACAGTGGGAGCATAGTATTAAAATAAAAACTAGTTCAGCACTAAAACTAGCTCAGCCAACTAAAAACAACTGCTAGTTTGAATTGAATTTAGTCGACAACAGAAACCAAAACGACTGAGCTGAACACAGTTTACAGAAAAGACAGCAAAATAATAGTAAATGTACAAAGCTGAAGTTGACTTTTTTTCCTCCACAGCTCCTATTTAAATGATCAGTTCCACCTTAAGTGGAACGACAAGTTCCAACAAGAAGCTGGCGAACAAGAAAGTCAGCTTCAGCCTTGTGATGAATGTTGCTTTTGTTTTGCCTGCAGAAGCTGTTAAAATCTGTCAAAGTTTAAGTGCTCCACATTGATGCTGTTCTAATTGGCAATTTGGATCTTTTAGCTTTTCTCTCAATCCTGTAAATTAAAAAAAACATCTACAAGAGCCTGAACCTCAGTAAGTATCAAAAACATAATATGCTAATTCTTCCCTTATCTTTTCATCCAAAAATATTGTAATTTGATAATCTTATTCTCTTAATAATCTTAATCTATAGTAGATTCTGAGATAGTATCAATTTTGGTGCATTTACAGCTTTAGGGGACGCTGTAACTGCTAAGGACAACTTTAAACACTTGTCAACATTGAGACTCTGATGAGGTGTGCAAATGTTGGTCCAAATTGGCCTTAAGGGGGCACTTTGGCATTCATTAAAAATGCTATTACAGTGTTATAATGAAGTCTACTGATGAACAATTGGTGCCATGTGATCCAGCTCTCTGACCTAAATGTCTTTGCAATTACATTTTAGAATTGGACTCCTTGTCTGGTATTTTGACTAATTCATTCAAAGACTACAGCTTATTACATAAAAGTTCAAAAGGTCAATCTGAACAAAACTCCTAATCAGAAGACCCTATTCAATAATCATAACAAATGGAGACTTTTGACAGATTCTGACTCACTTTCTCTTAGCTCCTCTATGCCACAAAGACCCCGTATGGGTGCATTGGGCCTTATTATGGCATGCATATCAAAGGCTTAAACTTTGAAAACCAAAGCACTTTGCAAATACAACTATTTCAGAAATTTTACCATTAGTCATGTATTTTTGACATCTATGGTAACAATCTGTAGCATTTTCTACAAAGCTATAAATCAGTACATATTAAATTAAGCATGTACCTTGTTTAAAAACCACTGCTCATATAAAGGCCTTTTGATAAACTTTGACTGCCTTGCATTTTTCATCCTCTCTTTGTAAATAAAGCCTGAAGTGCATTAGACCTTGTTAGACCTAATTGGCCCAAAATGCATAAGGCCTCATTTTGCTGATGTGCGCTGGCTGCTGCTTGGAGCTATATTTAGGGGTCCAAGCATTGCTTTTGCAAGGATTTTTCTTCTTCTTTTTCTTCCCTGAAACTAATAGGGGAGATACCATAGACACCAAAAGTCATCCAAACACCAAAATTGAAATGGTAGGTGAAGTATCCATCCCACTACTCAGGCAAGTGAAATGGCCCCAGTTGGCCAGATGGTGTTGCTATATAGTAACATTTCAATTTGGCCCATATCTCCTGAACCGTGAGGCCTACAGTCAAAATCTGGCTTCTTCGTAATCTTTGTTTAATTCCACATAAATGCCTCCATGGAAACTATTGAGTTCCACCCTGAAAATGTTTTGATATTGGCAAAATATGTGAAATCAACATTTTTCTACTAGTCTGAGATTTTTCATGATATACACACAATGTTGTTCTCAGAATGTTAAGGGGAATCTGGAGGTCAAAAATTATAAAAAAAAAATGAATATTTGTAACACAAAAGGAGAAGTAATAAATGTTTTTACAGTCTGTTTTGTTTATGTTTACCAGGGGTGCCAATATTTGTGGAAGGCTCTGTATAATTCAATATGCATTATATACAATTCAAAAGTGTTTTCATTTTCAGAATAAAGCAGGGCCTAAATAAAGTGATAGTTTGGTAAATCTCTAATTATACATTATTTATAGTCAATAGCATGCCGTTTGGTATAGGCATGCTGTCTGCACAATGCTTACTGATGAGGAATAAGCCTCCATAACCTGTCGGTGTAACGAATATCACAGAAGGTGGATGCTCGCGGATAAAGGAGTACAACCAGGCTTTAATGTTGAAATCGGAATCCAAACTTGTAGTCAAAAGGCAGGCAAAAATGTCAAGGCACAAAAACAGAGAACCAATGCAAACAATCCAGAGGGGTAAACCAGAAAGTCGGGGAAACGAGAGTACAAGTCATACACGAAAAACAACACAATAGAAATAACGCTCAGTAGTTCACGAATGAAGCAATACCTTGCAACTAACTATTGCTAAAGCCCGGGCTTATAAGCTACTCTGAAGTAGTCATGTGACAAAACATACAGGTGTTACACATTAAAACTCAGGCGACCGTAAACACTGATAGGAGCGAGTGTGGAGATCAGCGGTCAGCTGATCTCGCACTTCACTCTGGGAGATGTAGTTTGTGTGTGAAATGGAGTCTGTAGGCAGTGAGGAGGTCATGTGATCTCCCAGAGGATTCTGGGAGATCGAGTCCATAGCCTTGTTGGTGACATTCGTGACAGTCAGCTACATTAGCCTTGAAGCTCCAGCGCAAAACTAAAGGAGTAAAGTTCACACATTGAAAATGTCTGCGCTGATCAACTACATTTAGGGTAAAATGGGAACATATTGTCAACTTGATTTGCTAATCTATCACTTTGAACAGTTTTATGCAAAATTTTACTCATATTATTTAGAACAGACAATGAAAATATATTGTATATTTTATCTGGGAAAATTGTCTAAATTCAACAGTGTAACTAACTACATTTCAGTTAATTTGTACTTTTTCCCCAAGAATGATACTGTCAAATGATAAGATGGTTTTTTCCAGAGTTGAAGATGAGTCACCTGTAAGATGAATATTTTGGGTTTTCCTATGAGGCTTGGACACTTGTCTCCTCTGAAAAGTGCTGTGATATCCTGGATGTGAATCTCTGCATCATAGGCATAGACATGGCCATTTTCACCGTGGCTCAAGAAAATGCAGACAAAGCAGTCTGCATCCATGTGATTACGACCTGCAGCTGTGTTCAAAGGTTGAAAGCAAAACTAAATTAAACAAAGCTCCAATAAAAATGCTGTGGCTTTCTAGGTATCAGTTTGCATTAAAAGATTGTGTAACATCTGCTTACCTTCAGTGATTATTTTGAAAATTTCATCTTTATTGTAATCATCGTAAACTTTCACATCAAACCCCAAGCCTATAAACCTGAAAAAATCATGGTTTGCTATTTAAAGCTACTGTATTTCATATGCAAGTTATGAACACCAAATGCATACTTTAGACATATCTGCATTGAGATGTTAGTTTAGGATGCTAAGGTGCTGCACTGAAAAATTTGTGTATTGACTTCATATGATTTAAAGTGTAAATTGGTTTCACATGAATGAAATATCAACATCTACATAATGGCCGTCTTGCAGTTACCTCTTTTGGCAAGAATTGTGTCGAACTAACACATTTAATTCACGTGAAACCGACAGAAATGTGAAAAATGAAAAGTCATGTCAATTCTAAGCACAATTCTTTTCGGGTCAACTGGTTAATAATGTTAAGTCCAGTATGAATAATGAATGAATAATATTAAACTAATGCACAGTAATTTTATCATTTCATTATTGAAACATTATACATTATCTACAATAGGTAACTATATAAGGCTGAGAAGTATTATGAAGTGTGCTTTGTGATCTTTATATGCACCTCTTTTTAAGATGTTCTTTGTCTGCGGCCGTCCCAGAACGACTGTTCAACATTAGCTGCCAGTAGAAGCGCTCCTGATTGAATATGAGTGCTAGGCCTCGGTTCTTGTGGTCCATGTTGTTTTCCTCAGCAGGATTGAGGCTGAAAGCACTGGAAAAAAAATTAAGCATAGTCATTTTAGTCCACTTGACCCCTTAAAGGGGGAAGAGTCACTTCAAATCAATACAAGGTTATTTTGACATTTCACCAATACCACAACAGTTGACAGTCTTAATGAAAGTTGAAAAGGCTAACATTTAGTTCAGTTAAGGATATATTAAGTTGATAAGGATATGTTCACCTTGTAGTGTTACTCATGTACTGCATAATAAGCTGTTTCATAAAGTGGGAAAAGCCCATGAGGTGTAATAGTGCATTTTAAACATTCATTATATCGTAAAATACTTTTATTGTATAAAACAGAGGTTACAAAACCTCCTTGAGACACAACTCCCATGAATTATGGATTTATTTCATCTAAACTTGATGCCTGCAACACATTCCAAAAAAGTTTGGACAGGAGCGTGCTTACCACTGTGTTACATCACTTTTCCTTTTCAAAAACACTTAACAATCATTTGGGGACTGAAAGCACAATCTGGTCTAGTTTTGAAAGCAGAATGTTTTGCCATTTTTCTGTTAAACAAGTCTTCAGCTGTGCAGCTACACAGGGCCATTCTTGTCATATTTTGAGCTTAATAAGACACGTTTTCAATAGGAGACAGGTCAGGACTGCAGGCAGGCCAGTCTAGAACCCACACTCTCTGATTACACAGCCATGCTTCCCTAACCAATGCAGAATGTGGCTTGGTGCTGTCATTTTAAAATACGCATGAACACCTAAAACATAGTAAATGTTGCTTCAAAATGTGTTCAGCATTAATGGTGCATTTACAGTTGTGCAAGTTACCTACTAATAACCCCCATACCATGACAGAACCTGGGATTTGAGCTTTAAGCTAATAAAATTTTTCTTCTTTGGCTCAGAGAACATGTTGTGTATTATTTCCAAAAACAATCTAAAAGGTTGACTAGTCAGACCACAGTACATGTTTCCACTGTGCATCAGTTTAATTCAGATAAGCTCAGGTCCAGAGAAGTCAGAGGCCTTTCTAGATGCTGTTTACATATTAGTGCCACTGTGCATAGTACAGTATTAACTTGCATTTGTGAATGCAGCGACAAACTGTGTTTCTTGACAATGGCTTTTCAAAGTACCACGCAGTACAACGCTGAGTCAACACAGCTGTATCCATCACAGAAACAGCAAAGCAGTGCCATCTGAGGGGTCAAAATTCATAGACAGTTGTGTTTTTTGGCCTTGTCACAGAGATTTCTCCAGGTTCCCTAAATGTTTTAATAATATTATGCACTGTAGAGGGTGAAATACACTATATTGCCAAAAGCATTCACTCACCCATCCAAATTACTGAATTCAGGTGTTCCAATCACTTCCTTGGCTACAGGTGTATAAAACGAAGCACCTAGGCATGCAGACTGCTGCTACAAACATTTGTGAAAGAATGGGTCGCTCTCAGGAGCTCAGTGAATTCCAGCGTGGTACCATGATAGCTGTGCAACAAGTCCAGTTGTGAAATTTCCTTGCTACTAAATATTCCACAGTCAACTGTCAGTGGTATTATAACAAAGTGGAAGCGATTGGGAATGACAGCAACTCAGCCACGAAGTGGTAGGCCACGTAAAATGACAGAGCGGGGTCAGCGAATGCTGAGGTGCATAGTGCGCAGAGGTCGCCAACTTTCTGCGGCGTCAATCGCTACAGACCTCCAAACTTCATGTGGCCTTCAGATTAGCTCAAGAAGAGTGCGTAGAGAGCTTCATGGAATGGGTTTCCATGGCCGAGCAGCTGCATCCAAGCCTTACATCACCAAGCGCAATGCAAAGCATCGAATGCAGTGGTGTAAAGCGCCGCCACTGGACTCTAGAGCAGTGGAGACATGTTCTCTGGGATGACAATTCATGCTTCTCCATCTGGCAATCCGATGGACGAGTCTGGGTTTGGCTCTTGCCAGGAGAACAGTACTTGTCTGACTGCATTGTGCCAAGTGTAAAGTTTGGTGGAGGGGAGTTATGGTGTGGGGTTGTTTTTCAGGAGTTGGGCTTGGCCCCTTAGTGCCAGTGAACGGAACTCTTAATGCTTCAGCAGACCAAGAGATTTTGGACAATTTCATGCTCCCAACTTTGTGGGAACAGTTCGGGGATGGCCCCTTCCTGTTCCAACATGACTGCGCACCAATGCACAAAGCAAGGTCCATAAAGACATGGATGAGTGATAGAACAACCCGATAGAACACCTTTGGGATGAATTAGAGCGGAGACTGTGAGCCAGGCCTTCTCGTCCAACATCAGTGTCTGACCTCACAAATGCTCTTCTGGAGCAATGGTCAAAAATTCCCATAAACACACCCCTAAACCTTGTGGAAAGCCTTCCCAGAAGAGTTGAAGCTGTTATAGCTGCAAAGGGTGGGCTGACATCATATTAAACCCTATGGATTAAGAATGGGATGTCACTCAATTTCATATGCATGTGAAGGCAGACGAGCGAATACTTTTGGCAATATAGTGTATGTGTCAGGGAATTTGGGCAATCAATGACTACAAAGTGACATCACATGTCTGTGATGGTGATGCCTCTCAGAGTGTTCAGAACGATTCCTGCACATAGTTGCAAGCACGAAACAACCACCCGGTGAAGAAGACCACAGTAGATGTTAAGACAACCCTTTCCAGAGTTGAGCCACAGAAAGCATCCTGTTTTGACAACATACCTGGCCAGGTGCTCAGACATCTTCTATATTTCCATGAGCCAGGCAGTTGTCCTGGAGTGCTTCAAAACGAGGACCATAATTAGCATTACTGTCTGGCCTGGAAACTGCTCTGTCTCGGACAGGAAAGCACAGCAGCAATAATACTAATTTGTGTGCATGACAGTCCAGTACAAAAGTGGATGTACTTACTTTACATGCACATTGATATAAACAAGTGCTGCAACTATTTCATGTTCCATTTAAAGACACATAACACTGTGCTTTTGTTGTCATACACTGCAATAATACAGCGTTTATTTTAGGGAATTAATTACACTAAACAATCACTCTACTATGTTAACAACACTGAGTATTTTGTTTTATTTCACATTTTATTTTTTCCAGTTGTTTTCATTTTAATACTATTAAGTTTGGTCAGCAGGGGACGAGTGCACTCACTGCTGGACATCAAACTCCACCCATGAGCACGGCCATTAGCTTTCATGCCAAACACTGCCGTTTTATTGGCTGGCTACTGAAACATCTGCATGAATTAGTGTGTGCTGCATGTAAATGATATGTAAATGAGGTGATGGTAGGCTGGTTTCATGCACTGAAGCTGATTTATCATTTATGCTCAGATCTCCACTTGTTTCCACATCGTACAAAATTGTTATGAATCAGACGCAGAGCAGTTCAAACCTTATAAAAGGCAAAAAAGGTGTTCTTTTTTACGTAACTTTGATGATTAATGGGCCCTTTTCACAAGATTCGTGATTACTTCCGGTTTAAGCATTAGCAGGGTAAAACTCACTTTCCATAAAGCTACTGCAGACGCGATGTCAAAATGTTTAGTAGTGAACTGTAACGCTCAAACACTGAGCTACAACAGCTGTATTTGAGTTTTCCTGCACGGTTCTGACAAACAGCGAGAATAAGTGCATGGAAGCTCTGATTTAACTGTAAACAGAGCTGAGATGCTGTATGTTGTTTTTACTGCAGTTCTGCTGCAGCTGCTTCACGTCAAGCCGTCTCTGTGTCTTTGTACAACACGCCAGCGATTTCGGTAATCTTCAGTTTTCAACAGAAAGAAGAACTTTTATATGTAGCATGAATGTTATAGACTCTGTTTATATTAAGCTAGCTATACTGGCTAGAAGCTACTGCTAACCAAACTAGCCCGGCTAACATGAAGCAGCTTTTTCAGATGTTTTTTTTTTCCGCTAGGAGTCGCGTTTTTGACTGAGCAGTGAAAGGTGGATGTTTTCTAAAGTGCTGCTTCAAAGATTGCCATGAAACAATAAGAATAATGCTGTTTGGCAGATCGCTAACATAGCCAGCGTTAGAGCTAACTTAGCTTTAAAGTTTGATGCTCATACGAAGCTGGTATTTCTCAAACTGCTAATGGTAGGCTAGCTAATTAGCGACTGTAGCCTGCTAGCCTGCCGTAAGCTAATACAGTTTAAACGATGTCTATCAAATAGACTTTACATATAAAAGTTTTTGTTTGTGTTTATGTCAGAAGTCGCTGCATCCTGTAGCTAAATGTGTCACAGAACCTGCTCCACGTTAGCCGGCTGGTGGCAGCAGCTAATGAAAGCTAACTAGCTTCCTTATTTTGGGAATACAGCTACAGTTAGAAATGGCTTCTAGCGTTGCTAGCTAGCTACAGCCAAACAACGTATACCAAATTCATACTACACAGAAGAACTTTAATTTCTTTTGAAAACAAAAATATTACAGAAATCGCTGGCATGTTGTACAACTACAGAGACACTGCTTGATGTAAGCAGCTGCAGCAGCAGTAAGCAGGGCTACACCACACACAGCATTTTAGCTGTGTTTACAGTTAAATCAGTGCTTCCATTAACTTCCTTTTGTCATGATAGTGCACAAAAACTAACATATGTCTGTTGTAGCTCAGTATTTGAGCATTATAGTTCACTGCTAATGCTTAATCCGGACGTAATCGCGACTCTTTGTGAAAAGGGCCCATGGCCATTAGATCTTTACATTTTGACCATTAATTATTTCTTAAATTCCACTTAATCAACCATTCATTGCTTCTTAAATTCCTCTTACTTAATCATTAATTACTGCTTTTGTGTTCTCACTTTACTTGGAGGGACACAAAAGCAGTAATTAATGGTTAAGTAAGCATAAATGATAAATCAGCTTCAGTGCATGAAACCAGCCTACCATCACCTCATTTACATATCATTTACATGCAGCACACACTAATTCATGCAGATGTTTCAGTAGCCAGCCAATAAAACGGCAGTGTTTGGCATGAAAGCTAATGGCCGTGCTCATGGGTGGAGTTTGATGTCCAGCAGTGAGTGCACTCGTCCCCTGCTGACCAAACTTAA